GGAGAAAGAGAGGGGGGGGGAGAAAGGGGGGGGGATGTTACTGATCCATCACTGCTTCCTCATTCCCTAACTTAGATACAGAAACTGTTTGTTGCCTTCCTCTGGATCAGGGGCACAGCGTTCGGTTTTAGGGTTTGCTCCTCTTATCTCTATGGGTTGAACTCGATGGACGGTTTTTTATTTTTTCCACCTGACTATGTAGCTCTATGTATACACCATCTCCCTATATTACTGATCGCGCACTGCTTCCTCCTCCACTATCCCACTTCACCTTATATGAGATGTTGATAATGAGTACACAAGGAGAAGGAGGGAAGAAACATCTTTTGGGGTATTATTTCAGAAGGGATCCTCAGCGCCGCTGTGCACGCACCCTGCGGGGTAATACCGCGTCTATGGACATATAAAGGGATGTCGGGGATCACATGCCGGGAACTCTATCTCTGTACTTCAGGAAGTAGAAGGAAATATTAGAACAGAAGCACTTCTGATGGCGGCGGCGGAGCTCAGAGAGCAGATGGAGAAGGGAAGTAGAAGATGGTGTAGAAGTATATTTGCAAGCTGGCTTCATTTGTTTCCAATGATCTGGCCGTAATACGGTGATCTCAGGCCCGGCGGTCACCGGGAAGCCGCACAGACTTTATTTACAGGCTGAATGGTACAATGAGTCCTAATAAGCCGCGGGGGAAGGGCAGGCAGTTCAGTTCAATGGTAAAATCAATAACAAGAGAGGCAAAGAAGCCGCCGTCATGTTCTGTGTTCAATCACCGCGCAGACCTCCCAAGACCGACCGCCGGAAAAATGACTCCGACACGTGTCATGGAATCCCACCAGAGGCTGTGTGTACGCGGTACATAGGGGAAGGTGCGTTCACTAAGTGCTGACAGATGAATCTGACGTTAGTCGCAGCGATAATCGCGGGAGGTCGATGGTCAGTGAAGACCTTGTGATTGCTCTGCAACCGTTTATTCATCCATCAGAGGCGCACAAATGTCCCCTAAAGAAGAACTCCGGTACTCCCACAGTCATTGTTGCGGTCACTCTATTCCATGTCTAGTGGTCCATCTACAAATATCTATATTTAATACAAAAAAGAAAACCTTATGGCAGAGCAGGCCAAGGTGTACGGCAAACTCTGGCAGTGTACGGCAAACTCTGGCAGTGTACGGCAAACTCTGGCAGTGTACGGCAAACTCTGGCAGTGTACGGCAAACTCTGGCAGTGTACGGCAAACTCTGGCAGTGTACGGCAAACTCTGGCAGTGTACGGCAAACTCTGGCAGTGTACGGCAAACTCTGGCAGTGTACGGCAAACTCTGGCAGTGTACGGCAAACTCTGGCAGTGTACGGCAAACTCTGGCAGTGTACGGCAAACTCTGGCAGTGTACGGCAAACTCTGGCAGTGTACGGCAAACTCTGGCAGTGTACGGCAAACTCTGGCAGTGTACGGCAAACTCTGGCAGTGTACGGCAAACTCTGGCAGTGTACGGCAAACTCTGGCAGTGTACGGCAAACTCTGGCAGTGTACGGCAAACTCTGGCAGTGTACGGCAAACTCTGGCAGTGTACGGCAAACTCTGGCAGTGTACGGCAAACTCTGGCAGTGTACGGCAAACTCTGGCAGTGTACGGCAAACTCTGGCAGTGTACGGCAAACTCTGGCAGTGTACGGCAAACTCTGGCAGTGTACGGCAAACTCTGGCAGTGTACGGCAAACTCTGGCAGTGTACGGCAAACTCTGGCAGTGTACGGCAAACTCTGGCAGTGTACGGCAAACTCTGGCAGTGTACGGCAAACTCTGGCAGTGTACGGCAAACTCTGGCAGTGTACGGCAAACTCTGGCAGTGTACGGCAAACTCTGGCAGTGTACGGCAAACTCTGGCAGTGTACGGCAAACTCTGGCAGTGTACGGCAAACTCTGGCAGTGTACGGCAAACTCTGGCAGTGTACGGCAAACTCTGGCAGTGTACGGCAAACTCTGGCAGTGTACGGCAAACTCTGGCAGTGTACGGCAAACTCTGGCAGTGTACGGCAAACTCTGGCAGTGTACGGCAAACTCTGGCAGTGTACGGCAAACTCTGGCAGTGTACGGCAAACTCTGGCAGTGTACGGCAAACTCTGGCAGTGTACGGCAAACTCTGGCAGTGTACGGCAAACTCTGGCAGTGTACGGCAAACTCTGGCAGTGTACGGCAAACTCTGGCAGTGTACGGCAAACCATCACACCATATACACAGTAAGATCTAGTGCTGCAACTATTGCTTAGACCTTGCACGCCGCCTGCTGGGCACATCCGGTACTGCGATGCCACCTTATCGTTATATCTGTGACATAAACGGCAGGAGAGATCATATAACAGACAGCCGAATGACGCAGGGGAGGGGGGGACACATGGGAGAGAGTGTACACGGAGGGGGAGAGAGTGTACACGGAGGGGGAGAGAGTGTTCATGTCCTACCTCCTCGTTGTATTTGAGTCGTGCAAACCACGCCTTGGATGGACGATGCTGGTACAGCTCCAGCCTGAGGTCAGCAGCATAAGGGGGCCACTTGTGGTCAAAGATCCCCAGAGCCATCAGGAGGGGAATCAGGGTCACATCGTGAGCAGCGTAAAGGAAAAGCTTCCTGGAAATGGAGAGGGAGAACCATTATACACAGCGCCCGTATTAAGTGACCAATATACCGCATTCCTCTTCTGGTTTAAAGGAAATCGCTTTTTCGATAAATATTTTTTTTTTACTGATTGATATTTCGTACGAAGAAGTTTCTTCTTATTATTATTTCTTTGTAGCCGGATCAATATTTTACAAGTTGATATCTCACATGTTTTACTTGTAACCAGCAGAAGGTGAACTCCAAACCAGAGCTATGGCTTCCTTTAGGTTTCAGAACGAGTTACTTGTAAACAGAGCCGACAGGCAGGGAGATCAGATCACACAGACTGCAGAGGGACTCAATGGGGAAGAACACGCCCCCCTCCCTCTATACCGGCAAAGCAGGAACCGTCTGGCTGCTATACACGGGTTGCAGGTTGGTAATCCCAGCATACTTTGCAAACAGCAGGCCATTCCTGCATCTTGTATTAAAAAGGAGAACTATGAGGGGCGTGCTTTTCACTCACCTCATAGTTCTAGCCGACCTAGGACAATGAGACTGTCACAGGTCGGCTCAGTAGATCGAGAGGTGAACGAACACATACCGGGTTCGCTCACCTCTCGATGCTGTCACGGCTCTCTGCCGTGACAGGGGGAGGGGCTGGATTTCCCTCTCCCCGCTCCGATCCTCTAGCGCTGACTGGCAGATCAGACGGGGAAGGGGACAGGTACAGCTGGCTCTGCCTCTAGATAGGCAGAGCCAACTGTCACTCACGCAGCTGGGCGGATCCCGTCATCTAAGTCGGGATCCGCTACGGCTCCGGCGTCTCAGTATACCGCAAGCTGTAGCTCGCGGTATACTGAGCTTTGGGTGACGGGAGGACGCTAGTTTGTGTCCTCCCGTTACCCTAAGGAGAACTATGGGGAAAAACACTAACCCCATAGTTCTCCTTTAAATACTGCTCTGGATGGAGGCAACCAATCAGATTTCAATAAAATGTTCCCTCGCCTAGCTACAGCCTGACAGATCCTTTATCATTGTTACGCTACATAGCAACACTTCCAACCAACTCACGTTGATCTGATCTTCCATGCTATGAGCTGAACGGTGGTCTGGGGCCGGTTATTTATGTATCTAAACCCCATGAACATAAAAGTCCTATATTGCAGCTCAGCAGTCCTTGGATGTGGCGGCCGCATTAGTTTTCCTTTGTCAGGCGTTTTCCCCCTTTATTTCCACCTGGGGATCCTGCCAGTAACACACTTCCTGTTCGAGGGTGACAACGCTCACTTACTGTACTGTGTCTATGGAGGAGCAACATTGTCACCCAAGACTGCTCACGCCAAACGTGGCCTACAGAACACCTCCCTCTCTTCATAACATAGCGGGAGGAGTTTTGTAGACCTGCAGAGGTGAGCTCAGGCAGAACGGACTATATTACTTGTATCGCAGAGGTGCCCAGACCAAATCTGAGGCTGAAAATAAGTGGCTGCCATTATTTTGTTCACATCCATTGTATGATTATCATTAGGGATGCACCGATACCGGTATTTCGGTATCGAGTACCGATATTTTCCCCCCCGGTATTTGCAGATACCGGAAGTCCCCACAAGTGACGAGGGAGCATGAAGCCAGCTTCCCGGCCAATCAGGAAGCCGGGCATGCCAGCTTCCCGATACCGGAAGTATTGGGCTAGGTATCGGAGCATTTGGGCGAGTACTCGCTCAAATACTCGGCATCGATACCAATACTAGTATCAGTGCATCCCTAATTATCAATCTCCACAGCTGAGACAGTCAAATATATACGTACAAGGAAAAATTAGGCCCATGCAAATTTTTTAAGGGTTAGTTCACACCATAAGCAGTGCGTTGCGGTCCAATTCTGGCCGGAAAGCACTGCATGGCGTTGCGGCCGGATCACTTTTTTGCCGGGCCGGAGGGGGCGTGGTGGGCCATTTAAGTGAATGGCACTGTAGCCACGCCCTCCCGCACAGGATCGCAAGGCATATTGTGCCTTCAGTGCGATCAAAATGCTGCAAGCACTATTTTGATCGCACCGCACTGCGGGCACAATGTGCCTTGCGATGCAGTGCGGGCGATCGCATTGCGGCCGGAGGTGTGGCTACGGTGCCATTCACTTCAAATGGCTCACAACGCCCCCTCCAGCCCGGCAAAAAAGTGAGCCGGCCGCAATGCCATGCAGTGCGTTCCGCACCAGAATCGGACCGGAACGCACTGCTTATGGTGGGAACTAACCCTAAAAGGACAACTTGCACCAGTTTCCAGTTTTGCTAAGGCGCTCAAAGCAGGAGCCACACCCAGGAAAGTTTGTATTAGACAACCATCAAGCTGGGGCAGACAATGCAGTTACATAGGTGCTAGACCCACAATGAGGTCCCTGCACTCCACACAGGTATTCATCAGAGGCAAGGAATTCGACTTCAGAATTGGGCATTATAATTCATGGGCAGATCTGTGTCCGATTGGGACAATAACAAACAAGTGGCCCTCATGGGCCGCTTCATCTGACAGCACAGGAAGTGTGCAGCTGCAAAAGAAAATCTATAAAAATCCATACGGTAATCACACCGGCCCCCAACTCAACATTTGGGTCTGCCCGCTCTGAGCGGAGACGACGTCATCGCTGGTTACAGATCGGCGTGTACCTTTGCGGCAGAGCGGCAGGCGTCCTCCTCGTGGCTTCCAAAATGTTACTCTGCAGGGTGTGCAGGAACGGCCCCACCATCAGTTTCAAGGCCCCCCTATGGTACAAACACATTTCCGTCATCTTACAGAGCCAATTTCTAGGACGGGGAATAAAGAGGCGGGACGTCAGGTATATAAGATGGAACATTCCTTCAATACATGCACAGTTGGTGGCTGTGCCCAAAATCAACTTGTTTTTGCTTTAACAACTTCCGTACTGGCCTGTAAACACCCCTTCACTACCCGGCCATATTTCAATGCTGTGATGGTTTGGCTGACAATTACTCTGTCACGCAACACTGAACCCAAATGAACTGAATTGAAATACATTTTACTGCTGTAATTTTTTTTAAATAAAGAAACTAGGTCGTGTTGAGGGAATTAAAACTAGGGATGCGCCGGTACCGGTCTTTTGGTATTGAGTGCCGATATTTTTTTACAGAGTACTCGGCATCGGTACCGATGCTAGTATCCGTATCGGTGCATCCCTAGTTAAAACACAGAGCTTGGTATTGGTGAACTAGATACAGGTCATATGCCGCGCGATCAGGAGGTGAAGGGGGTTGACGTACAGGTCACATACATAGGCCAGATGGAGATGAAAAAGGTTAATGTGCACATGCAGATAAGGGAGATAAAGGGTTAATATACAGGTCACAATACAGTGGCAGTCTGGAGATCAGTAGTTTAGGAGATGAGGGGCAGTGGTCTGAGCCACTGAGAATCAATAAAGGAGTCCACAGCTGCTGCCGCGGTAATCAGGTAGCCGGGCGGCATGTCATTACCCGCCGCCCAGCTTTCTGATTGCCATGGAAGCACACACATACATATACTGTGGAATTGTGTGGCAATCCCACGGTAGAACTGGGGGTTGTAGTCACCCAGCACTCTCAGCCAGAGGGACTTAGCAGTTCAGGGAAACAAATTATTTTGCTGGGAAAGAACTGGCTTTGCAGTTCTCTCCAGAAAACCTGGATTTGGCATGGGGTCCTGGAACTGGGAGATTTCAAAGAGAATTGGGAGGGATGAAATCTCCATTCCTGGGTCCATGGTTTAGTAGGGACCAGCACCTAATGATTGCACATCTGTGCACAGCCCTTATGGAAAGGGTGCTGGCTAATGCTCTGGGCTCCAGCTGGGAAGAGGAACAGAGGTGTTCAGGAGTCAGGAGGACTCCACCCAGAAGTCAGAGGGGAGACAGGTTGCCATGTATGTGTTGGAGCCACATGGAAGACAGCCAAGGAGGCTTGGAGAGCGTGTGACACACAAGGGTTGTGTGGGGGAGTCGCACCAGAGGTGTGGATAGCTGCTAAAGGGTAAAGTGTACTTCTGTGGAGTCTTGCTGATGAAAAACCCTAAAAGTCCTGGGACTAGGACACACAGAGTATATGTGACAACCTTGAGTCGGTGAGAAACTGTCATATTGCCTATTGCTAAAAAACAAGCAAACCTTATGTTTGATACTGAAGAGAGCTATGTTTCTGTTATGAAAGGATAAAGACTGTTCTGTTTTATGTCAAAGTAACTTCGAGACTGGTCTTTGAGCGCGCACGCACACACACACACACACACACACACGTGAATGAAGGTTCATGTTCACCTGTTATTAGGTCCCACCATATAGGAGACAATATCGAGAGCTCTTTTCTCAGACTTCTGCAGATGGCTTTTATATCTCCTAGAAAAGGGAAATCCGTGCACCTAAAGAGAGAAAACAGGATCTTTTTCAGGTAAGCTTTGATTGTATTATCAGAAACAACTCCAGTATGTATTCCTATTACAGTGCTGATGTTATTACAGGAGAGGATATGCTGGGACTTTACAACTCCTTTATTGTCCATGGTTTCGAAATGGCAGAATAATCTGACACTGCTCACTGCAACCCCTCTAGAGGATCTCTATGGAACCCTGGTAGAGAAAGACTGATCTAAACCCTAAGTAGATGATACCCTAAGTAGTAACATTATGACACTGCTGCTTTAACACTACAAGAAGCGGCAGATAAAGAGACAACGCACATTGGCTAGTGTGGAAAAACACCATTTTAATATGTAAAATTTGTATTAAATGCACTAACATAATGAAAGCGAACGCGAGCGTGACTGCAGGCTGAAAAGCCTTACCACAAACATCAGGTCAGATACGTCTGCAATCAACTCTCCATTTTCCAAATGCAAAATATTTATATACCCTGTTTCCCCGAAATTAAGACCTAGTACCATTTTTGGGAATTGCTAAAATATAAGACCTACCCCGAAAATAAGACCTAGTTGTGACCATTCCCAGGGCCGGTGGTGTCATAAGGGAGAGAATCAGCTGTGCCAACGAAGCCAGCGCTAGAGGAAGCGAGGCGGCAGCGGAGGGAGCAGAGCCGCATAAGCCGATGCCTCTATAGCGCCGCCTCCTGTCACAGGAAGAGTGATACCAAATGCACGCCGCCTGTGAGGAAACGATAGTGCCATTTTGGATTATTTAATTTGGATTTGCATGAACTAATACCTAGTGTTTTTTTTTTTTTAACCGAAAACAATATAAGTCAGTGTCTTATTTTCGGGGAAACATGGTATATACACGTGTGTGTGTGTGATATATATATATATATATAACAGGTGTTTATCCATCCAGTGCACGCGGTTTCTTTCTCTGCCACTTCCAGCTTGTACTATATCACCATCGGATATCTGCGAAGAATAAAGATGACCTGGGACCCGGCATGTCACATGACCACATGGAGGTACATTGTAAATCTCACAGTGGTGTCGTTGCTAAAACAAAAGAGCCCTGTGAGGACACTCTGATGGACAATTTCATCAGCCTATGGGCAGCGTCCAGGTCACCAGGAGGTGATGTGGGCACTACAAGAAGGTGCCGCCCATACTACAGATCAGAAGAAAGATGACCTGGGACCCGGCATGTCACATGAACACATGGGGGGTACATTTTAAATCTCACAGTGGTGTAGTGGTTAGCACATCTGCTTTGCAGCACTGAGAGTCCCCAGTTCAAATCCTGGACATCTGCAAGGGGTTTGCATGTCCTACCTGTGCTTGTGTGCGTTTCCTCTCACACTCCATAGACATGCTGGACGGTTAGTTGGCTCCTATCCAATTCGGCCCTTGCATGTGTGAGAGGGACCTTAGATTGTAAGCTCCTTGAGGGCAGGGACTGCTGTGTAATGGGGCTGCTCACAACAACCAGTCAGAAGCCTGCGTTCATTTGTTTTCACCTGCAGCTGAAATCTGATTGTTTGGTTCACGGTCAGCATCTGAGGTCTTCCTGTCTCACCTTTTCGGCCAGCAGGTTGTCCAGCAGTAAGAAGAAATCTACGTGCTCTGTGGATTCAATATTCAAGTCCCGCTGGAGTTTCCTCAGCTCGTCTGTCATTCCCGGCTGGTTGGTGGCATCAGACATCCGGCCACTGCAACATCAAAAAAAAAGCCGTATTTAAACCCAAAAACAGACATGTAAGTACTGGTAAGCTGCAATATATTACATGTGGTTAGGAAGAGATCCCTATCCCTGGACGCACGTGTCCAGCTATAGTCACTGACTCCTAACTGCAGGTAATCCCATCACATACGATTACACGCAGAGTGCCAGCGCACTGTGATCTGCTGTACAGACATTGTCGGCCCGGTCCAGTCTGACCACAGTCTTCCTCCTCAGCATGTGGAAGGAAGAAGTGGTATCATTGCGGTTTCATCATCATACACAAAGGCCTGTGGTTACATGAATACTGAAATACTTCTAATCTATCAACGGTATATGACACTCCTCACCGCAGCCTGGTGCCTGCTATATAACCATTTCCTCTATCCCTTAACTGCGTAGAAAGCACAGGATCTGCTATGATGAATGAACCCCTTGCTGGTAGTGTGAACAAAGTTTGTAGTTTAGGTGATACCCTTTATTACCTAATTTAAGGCCAAATTGTACCTTCAAGTTAAATCATTTAAATACATTGCGGGGGCATCAAAAGAAAAGATGTGCCAAGTCTTAGTCCTCGTTCACACCAGACACAGTGCGTTCCGGCCCGACTCAAGCGGGAACGCATTGCATTACATTGCGGCCGGCTCACTATGTTGTGGGGCAGGAGGGGGCGTGACGGTCCATTGAAGTGAATGGCACCGTAGCCACGCCCTCCGGCCGCACTAGAACGCAAGGCACACAATGCCTGCGGCCCGGACCGAACAAAATAGTGCTTGTAGCACTCGGGCCAGAACGCAGTGTCTGGTGTGAACGAGGCCTTACAGTTTGTGATCTTTAGAAAGCAGCCACAGCCTCAGTAGACAAGCCTGTCCCCTGCCAGCATGCTGTAGCGAAGAACCCTTGCTCCCTGTGGGGAAGCAGTGGTCTCTTTACTGGGGTGCACGAGTCTGTGATGTCACAAGCTGACCACAGAACTACAGGCACGCCATGCATCAGCACAGCATCCTGCAAGTCCGATTGTAGAAGAAGGGATGCAACCACACTATGCTACCATGGATCTGCCTTTGTGGTTAGAATGGTCAGGAAGCAACATGAAGCCCTGAATTCTCAAGGGGACTGGCGGGATCGCCAGGTATTTAGTGTGATTTGCCCCAGGTCCATATGAAAAAAGCACAACCATTAAATTGAAACTCCGGGAATGATCTTTTATGGATACATTACATTGGTCCAGTATCCATATCTGATCTCCATGGGGGTTCTAGGGATGCTGAAAATCACTATAGTAATCTATATCTATAGTAATCTTCCCCTCTGCACACTGAACACAGGGAGGCGCTGAGCACTGCCACCATTCAGAGGACCCCTTGGGAATACAGGGGGTTCTCTGATTGGATGAGGTGGAGAGGAGGGGTGGATGTCCTCACAATCTGATATGGATACTTACGTTGAGAAAAGCTGGACAAATGTAAGTATCCATAAATGATCTCCACATACAAGCAGTCAGTCCTCATCTTCCATATTATGTGGCTGCTGTGGGGCCTGTGTGGACGGGCTATGGGCTTATGTTGGTGACATCAGTGTGTGATGCTTCTGACATCATTCAGAGTTCAACAGGTGCATGCGACCTGCAGTTGGCTTCTTCTGACATGCAATTGACCTTTTTCAAGCAGGTTTTGCATCCCTATTTGCTTGTGCTGGAATGCAGAACCCGCTCGAAGCAAACAAAAGCCCAACAACATGGCCCTTGTGTTGTCCTCACCTGCCCCCAGTGTCTAAAACAGAACACTTTCAGAGTTGGAGGATTGGCATTCACCCTACCTGAGCTCGGCTCTCTATCATTTCAGCATCCATGCACTTGGGGCAGAGCCAAAACACCTCTTCTTGCCACCACCATTGCCAATCAATATAAGAAACTGGCAGGGGACTCGGCCCACTTGACACCACCTAAAATGTCATTTTTATATGGACTGGCTTTTCTGACATATGCCCCTTCAATATGAACAGAGCTCTTTCAGTATTTCCCTCTAGAACTCGACAGCTTTCAGCACAGCTATAGAAGTGTAATATACAGAAGGTGTGCAGGTAATAAACCTTGCGCAGGTTACAAATATGACTGAACAGAAGTTGGTACATTGTTCCTGCAGTTCCACCAAGACAGCCGGTAAGAATATTGCCCAAACCTTGTCAGATGTTTGAGTTCCCGGCAGTTCTGGTAATTGGGGTAGAGGATTTCACTGCTGGCCTCGTCCGTGACGATTGTGATGGGTCCTGAGCAAACAGTAACATCATAAGATCATAATTTGCATATCATGCATTTAATAGATCACAAGCCGACTCCGCCACAAACAAATGCTAGTCATGCACAGACATCAGCAGGAGCTCTGTTGGGGTTTTTATTGTGGGAGGTTGGACAAGGATTGAACCCCCCTTAACAGTGATAAACAACACGTTCAATGTCCAATACACTTACATCTTCATCTTTTAAAGCCTGCCTTACTTCTGGTCCCATAATTGCTTCCCCCTCATTCCGGGGTTTGTGTGGCTACATTGCCTTGCAGGCTTCTATGGAACCCCCGTCGTAGCCACCCATGCATGCATGCTCTCAGAAGAGGCTGACGTAAGGATGCTGCCTGCGCCAACACACACAGGCAGCCGGAACACCGCTCTAGGCATGCTAAGGGGTGTATTCATACAACGTTCGCAGAGCCATTCTCTCTGCAAACATTTCATTTTTACATTCGCACCACATTACAGCCACTAGAAGCTAAGGAGCAGAGGAAAGAGTCCATAATGCGATGCGACTGTAAAAGGAAGGTGTTTGTAACACGAATGGCCCTGCGAGCGTTTTATAAATACACCCCTAAGATACGACCCCTGCTCATCCTGGAAGGGATTGAAGCAGTTAGCATGGGGCAAACATGTGCGATGGCGCTATGAATTATGGGAAATGTAGTCCTGAGAAGAGGGATCAGGTGACATCAAATTAAGTTATGGGTAAGCGCTCACAGAAGATCAGGGAAACCGACCAGAGGAAGTCAGGGGCTGTAATAACTAGGGATGCACCGATACCGGCATTTCTGTATCGAGTACCGATATTTTTTTTTTCGGTACTCGCCAATACAGATACCGGAAGTTCCATTAAGGAAGCCAGGCGTCGTGTAATGACTCGACACCTGGCTTCCTGATTAGCTGGGAAGGCGGGCGGCGTGTAAATAATCGCCACGCGGCTTCCCGATTAGCAGGGAAGCCCTCCCCATGCTTCTTGTCACTATGTGATGAGTAAGCATGGAGCCGGCTTTCTGGCCAATCAGGAACCTGGGCGTCGTGTAATGACACGGTGCCCAGCTTCCTGTTTGGCCAGGAAGCTGGCTCCATGCTCCCTTGTTATGAGGTGACGAGGGAGCATGAAGCCGGCTAACCGGACAATCAAAAAGCCGGGTGCCGCGTCATTACATGCTGCCTGGCAGCCAGCTCCATGCTCTCTCGTCACAAGCTTCCTGATACAGCATTTGGGAGAGTACGAGTACTCGGCCAAATACTCGGCATCGGCACTCATACCGATATTAGTATCGCTACATCCTAGTAATGAGATAAAAGTTGGGATGCACTGAAATTCCGTCCAAAAAATGTACTAAGGACAAAATGCCGATAGTACCAATATGGCCAAAAAAGTGGCCAAAAATTCAGTGCTTTCCTAGCTTCTCTTCTCCCGGCTGGGTGCCGCTCTGTGTCCTCATTATCGTGTTGTCCTGAATTGGTCAATATCAATGTATTAAATGAAAAAAAAACCATTGGCTTTAGTACTACTTTAAAGGTCTTCCTTGCAGTCTGAATGCACAGGTAGAAGAGGCACCTGGGTGTCTAGAGCCTTCGACAATCAGCCTGGGGTGGGAAGAGATTGTAGGCAGAAGAGATGACCTGACAGGGGACAAGGCCGTACCCCACTGCACCCAAAATGGGGTAAAAAAAAAAAAATGAAATTCTAATTTATATACAGGAAGGGCGAGAATAAGGTTCCGGAAAGGCGGTATTTTTAATCTGAAGCAAAGATTAAGAACACGAGGACATGACCTCCAAATAGGAAAGTTTGAAAGTAATCTTAGAAAGTGTTATTTCACCTGGTGGGTGCTGGGGACAGACTGCCAGCAGAGGTAGTCAATCAATATCAAAAGATGAACTCTGGGAATGTAAAAAAAAAAAATGTACCCTTGGGGGAGTGGGGGTATTCCCCTCGTTTTGCCTAGGGGGCTCAAATATAGCAGATATACCAACCTGATCCTCAGTCCTGCCTGGCTGCTAGTCCAGTCCCTGCAGTCTCTTCTTCCCTGGGCTCTGGTGGTCTAAGGACCGCTGACATCACCAAGTCCAATGCAGTTCCTTTGACTTGCACTGGTGTGGATGAACCTGACTACCTTGACTTCAACTGTTGATAACTCCCTTGGCATTGACTGCAGAACATGGGCATGCAACCTTGGCACCGCAACTGTGATGAAACTACAAATCTTGCCATGCCCCTGGGAGCCATGCCTGTGGATGTCGGTCTTGCAATGTTTCAACACCGCTGGAGTGCAGAGGTAGCCTACCCCTGCTGTAGCAGATATGTAACCCCAGAGATGTTGCTGCCAGGAGCACTGTGAGCCCGCTATAACCAAACCTCCTGCATCTACTAAATAATAAAGTGTCAGTATTGGGGGGACAAACATGCAAATCATCCATTTCTTTGTATCATGGTGCATCCATGGCATGCAGTCTGCAGAGGATGATGGCTTTTGTAAGAAAGCCCAGCATTACCTGCACACTTGCTGGCAGCCTGTGTATAGCTGACCAATTACAAAATTCCCATCAATGTTGGGGGAAAGAGTGTCCCTCCTATGAGTCATACAACTTATTTTTAGCCTAGTGGCTGTAACAAGAGCTCCCTATGACTTGGTACGACCAGCAGTTGATCTCCGATGACATACACACAGGATTTTTAGAAAGGCAAAGAGCAATGAACAAGGTGTAGAGACCGACAACAACCAATTAACACTCATCATTGTTCTGCAGAATAAAGCTACAATCTGATTGGCTGATGTGGGTACCTCCATGACCGCTCTCTGCACTCTGACGGAATAAAGCGGGTTTATTTTAGTACTGACCTTCCTGCTTTTGCTGGTAGAGGCCGGCTAGTAAAGAACGTGTAGACTCCAGGTTACGCACTATGTTGGTGGACCGGACACTGAAATAGAATAAAAGCCACAAATGTGAGGAAAATGATCAAAGTGGACCGGTCCTCAGTTACATAGTTACATAGTATTTGAGGTTGGATAAAGACATCAGTCCATCAAGTCCAACCTATATAGGATCATCTCATGCTTAGGAGTACCTGTACCCCTGTATATTACCGTCCGTTAGGAAATCGGCCAAGTTTCTTGAACAATTCCACATTATTTGCTGAAATCAATGCCGGTGGCAGCGAGTTCCAGACCCTAACTGATCTTACTGTGAAGAACCCACTTCGCCCCTTGTGCTGGAATTTTTTCCCCACCAATTTTAGGTGGTGGCCTCTAGTTTTTGTAATGGAGTTAATTTTAAAGAGTTTATTGCTGATGTTGCTACCACCATTGAACATCTTGTACATGAAAATCATATCCCCCCTTAATCTCCTCACTTCCAGTTATTATAAGTACAAGCATGCTAACTAATGTACAAATATAACACTTCCAGGTATTTATTACCTCTCACAGAAATCATAATCCTCCCCCTGACAATGCCGTCATCCATTAAGGAAGGAGCCATCTTTGTTCAGGCATCATCCAGGGTCATCAATTACTTCCTGGACCGAGATGCCAGCTCAGACATGACGCAGTCATGTAAATCCCGTCCTGACACAGATCAGCTCCTGCTACAGCGTCTCACCTGCTGCAACATGTCAATGTGATCACTGCTGGAAAGAAGACTGTGGAAATGTCTCCTCCGGCCAGCAGCAGACTGATGACATCATCTTGGCCTAAGGCAGTACCTGGAGTAATGTGAATGTAGTGTAAAGTTTTTTGTTTTTTGCAAAATGATACTCTTGCTTTATAATGTCTTGGCGATGTATCTGGGCCTACTTGAGATGGTACTGATAGATTCAATGTAAGAACGTTGACTACTGTAACTGATGCTGCACAAAAGTAATTGTGGGCAAGTAATGATGATGAAAGACATTATACACAGGCAACATTGCAGCATACAAACTTTATTTTACCTTTATAAACAAATAAAAAAGTGACTCTGGGTGACAAGTAGTGTTAACCTCTTATCACTTGTTAGAGGGCCGGTGTTCCATCACAGATTGTGACTGCGTTAGAATGTGACCGGTGACGCGATCACACATTCTAACGTAGTCACGCCCATTTTTTTCCGCTGTAAAAATATGTGACCAGCAAAATGTGTAGAATTCAAAGTTTTCTCAGCTGTTCCCGGGCAATTCGGCATCGCAGATGGCATGTGCAGGACAACCCATCTGCCCTGGAACAGCTGATCGGTCCTGAAATGTCACTTATATCCGACTTTTAGCGAGTACATTTTTTCCCCCCGGAAAAAAATGGGTGCGACTACGTTAGATTGTTTGAGCACGTGACCGGTCACACATTCTAACGCAGTCACAATCTGTGATGGAACACCGGCTACTCATTTGGTTCACATACCTTTGGAAATATAGTTGATGTAGCGCCTAACTGGATCTATACTATACGGACTGTTTAGGTCGTTTTAATAAAGTTAAGAGTGCTTGCACACCTCCCCTTGTCAGCATCTTCATATATCAACATTATATCAACACCTATTGGCTAATCGAATGAATTATTTTATAGAATCATTGATCACATTTTTGAAGCACTCACTAGACTTCTGATGGCTTCAACACTGGCGATAGGAAATCCCGCTCTTCTATATAAGCCTTCCGGAGCCTGGCGCCCAGGTTGAACATCTGCTGCATCCCTACTGTGGTGAGCTGTCCTGGGAAGGTGCCACCCTGTGACAGAAGCAAGATACCAATGAATGACATGTAAAATTAAATACACATTTTTTTTTTAGATATACAGTACCTGGCTGCATTATCCCTTATTCAGGATTGCAAAGCCCAACCGTGACATTTACATTCCATCTTGGAAATGGGTGAACACCTTTAAAAGCAGTCCAGAATTTGCCGGAGGCTCTAGGGGGGGGTAGAGAGAACGGTGCGGTCTTTGGATCTGGGGATGGCAGGCCAGTATCCTCTGGAGTAATAGGTGGGGAGGTTTCCTTTGGGTTGATTCTGGCCTGGTTATGCCGGGCTTGTCCCCAGTTGTAGGCAGGAGCCTCTCCGGTGCTAATACCTTCTGATGGGAATAGGGCTGCCCTCGCCTGGCCTGAGGGTTAGGGGGCACAGAGACCCGTGGTGCTGTGCCCCCTGTGGGTGGCATCTCAGGGCTGCTGGAAAATCACTATGAATTTGTGACCCCCACTGAGATTCACTGCCATTAGGTCACGATACTTCAAGCTTTTTCTTCACTATGCTTCTTGGGCAGGTCTTTTGGCTAGCCAGGAGCAATTTTTTATCTAGACTGGAAGGCCTGCCATGTCTCAGACTGGCACTTATTTTTATGAACGTTGAGCACCTTGACCCCACAGAATGACAGAGGGTGTAGGTACCTTCGGGGCCAGACCTGGAGTTTGATACGTCGGCTAGGTGGACTGGCCCCTGTGAGGAGCCTTGTGCTCTGGGGGAGGTTCAGGGATTCGTGGCCCTTCCTCTTCAGAGCATGACCAAAAGCACCCTCGTGCACTTTGTGTGTTGCGATTTCACAATTCACTTTTTTTTTTGTTCACAGGGACTGTCTTCGATGCACTGCGGACTTAAAAACAAAACAAAAATTCTCTGTTTATTTCGTCATGGCACCCTTTAAAAGTACGCCCCCATGAACACCATACCAGACCCTTATCCCACATAGGGGCCTGATATGGATTTTAAAGTGGTACCCCATGCAATACATATTTGTGCTACTTTACATCAGTGTCCCCCTCTCTCAAACTAGGAGCCCCCCTTCACATCATGGTCCCCTTTCACATAAGCGCCCCTTCCTTTCACAGCAGAAGCCCTCCTACCCCAACTTTTCACATCAGAGCCTCTCTTCGCATGAAAAGTCTCCCTGCATCATGGAAAGGCAGGACACTTTCTTTAGTTTTTTCTTACAAGTGGAACGACTTCATATGTTTTCATGTACTATCGCATTATGGCCACTAGATGGTGCAGAGAAGCATAGAAAATGAGTACTTATTTCCTATGCTACTTTATCACCATCTAGTGGCCATAATGTGATATTACGTTGCAAAAAGAAAACATTTGGAAATTATTTCCACTTGGCATATATCTAGAGCTCCAGCTAACGATTATTTTCAAAATCGATTAGTTAGCCGATTAAGTTCGGTTAATCGGTTAAATCGGATAAACAATAAAATAAAGTTTAAAAAATGGCTCCAGTGATGGGACTACTAGTTTGTATTGAGGTTGTAGTCCATCACAGGAGCAAGCTTGGAGCGGTGGAAGTAAAAAAGATAGTGTGGTGTGCAATATAGTGAAATGGAAAGTTAAAAATTATACAGCAATCAATGCAGAATGGCACCGGCTATAGAGGACTACAAAACCCAGCAAAAGCACATTATACAGCACAATGCAGAATACCGCCAGCTATAGAGGAATACAACAAATCCCAGCAATAGTACATAATAGCTGGCGGCATTCTGCATTGCGCTGTATAATGTACTATTGCTGGGTTTTGTAGTCCTCTATAGCTGGTGGTATTCCGCATTGCGCTGTATAATGTATTATTGCTGGGACTTGTAGTCCTCTATACAGCGCAATGCAGAATATCACCAGCTATAGAGTACAACAAATCTCAGCAATACATTATACATACAGTGTATAATGTATTGCTGGTATTTGTATTCCTATGTATAATGTACAGTACAATGTACCATCAGCTATAGAGGAATACAAATCCCAGCAATACATTATAGAGCACCATGTGGGGGAAAGTGCAGGCTTACCTGAGCAGTCTTCCAGCAACTTGTTTCTGAGATTGGACCTGTCTATCAGCGGCTGTCATCCCCCCCACCCCTGCTCCTCCTTACTACATCTCCCCGCGTGCGTTGCCGATCGTGGATGGGCAGGAATTGTGAGGCGGGGAGGAGGTGCGGCGTGTGGAGCGTGGATGCGAGCGGGTCTGGCAGCGGCGAGCGTGAGGTGGGGAGGAGGTGCGGCGCACAGCGTGTGGAGCTGTGAACAGGGCCAACTGATCGGAAGCCGATTCATCGATTATTGAAAAAGTTGACAACTTTTTCAATAATCGATTATAAATCGATTAGGTCGATTAGTTGTTGCAGCCCTACATATATCCGCTGAGAACAAATGTTCAGATATTTTCAGAGCAAGCAGCCCTGTGAAAAGATTTATGAATAGACACCCGTCAGGTTTTTATAGCCATCTCTATAGTTAACGCATTATCTAGCCTTTTCCTCCCCAGCATGACTGTCCCTGGTCCTCCCCTTTAGGTATTTGGATGTCAATCATGGAGGCTCAGCATCACATGGGGGCTTTACCCGGAATGGTCTACATGTAAATGCATGCTGCGTAGGAACGCCCACTTCTTCAGACTGACCCATCAAAACATTATGACATCTGCATTTCTCCTCCCAAGAGCCAGCCCACTGCTTGCATCAGGACTAAGGGCTTTTGAGGCAGGGTGCTGTGATGTTTTCAGGAAACCATGTACAGCATCCTGCCTGTCCCTCCCGCCAGTCATGATCTGCCTGCATTGCACTGTAACGACCAGTAAGGAGGCACAGTACTAGCCCTCAACTGCAGCTGTGGCCTTGTGCGTCATACAGTTCCAAACTGCTGAGTGCAAGGGCTACACCTCCCGGTAGGAGCAAGTCAGCAGGCATAAGGTTAGCTCTGCAGTACAGCTCAGGACTGTATTACTTCATATAGCCTCTTGCTAAAGCTGAGTGCAAGTACACCTCCCGGTAGGAGCAAATCAGCCAGCGTAGCGGGTATGAGGTTAGCTCTGCAGTACAGCTCAGGACTGTATTACTTCATATAGCCTCTTGCTAAAGCTAAGTGCAAGTACTACACCTCCCGATAGGAGCAAGTCAGCCAGTGTAGTGAGTACTCCGGTTAGCTCTGTAGTACAGCTCAGGACTGTATTACTTCATATAGCCTCTTGCAACAGGAATATGGAACAAAAATAGTCCAGCCCTGAGTAGTAAAAGTTGACAGGCAAAAAGGAACTCTTATAAACAATATGATACTCCTCGCTAACTAATTAAACCAGAGTTCACAATCACTGACTCACTCGCGGTAAGGTTGCGTAATAAGGTACTTGCAGTTAATAGTGTTAGGAAGTCAGTGTGGGATATGTTCATGGCTATACCCAGGTAGTCCAGAGGTCACTTAACCTAGTAGCATGCCAGGTGCAGATCCTCAGTTATGACATGCAAGGGTTAAGCTTGATGCAGATGGCTGCAGTGTTGCAGGAATCCAAGTAGGGATCACGGAAGTGAATATCTTTATCTCCCTATGGATGGAGAGCGGGGAGGGTAGCTTACGAATGTACTCTTTCATGATGGAGAGCAAGGCAATAAGTCTTTTTAAGCTTCTCCTCAGGATAGAGAGCCGGGGTCCTCCTATAGGAGTCCTCCTATTCAGGATGGAGAGCGGTGGGAGAGCAGAGATACCTTGCGTCAGGCAAATTGCTTGTATGTTGAATCTCCCGGCTTTAGGTGATAGAGGGAGGAGCCGAGTGATGCCGTGGGACCCGGTCTGACAAAGACGAGGGACACGGAGTTTGCCTGGTAAGTATCTCACATGCGCTGAGAAGCAAAGACTCCCAGTGATGATGTCACACGGCTAAAATAATATACACAAGGGAAGCACAGGTATATTTATTTCGGTACTGGCCGATACCGAATACTGACACTTCCGCTAGCATGGAGCCGGCTTCCCAGACAATCAGGAAACTGGGCGGCGTGTCATTACCTGCCACCCGGCTTCTTGATTGCCCGGGAAGCAGATTCTATGTTGTTAGGCCGGCTCGATGTTGATTGGCCAGGAACCCGGCTTCCCAGCCAATCAGCATCGATCCGGTTACCCGGCCAAATCAGGAAGGCAAGAGGCAGGTCATTACCGGCCACCTGGCTTCTTGATTGCCCAGATAGATGCCGATAGGCCGAGAAGCCGACTCCATGCCGTTTGGATGGTTCAATGCTGATTGGCTGGGAAACCGGCTTCCCGGACCATCAGCAGAAAGCTAGCCAAACAGCATGGAGCCGGGTTCCTGGTCAATCAGGAAGCCAGGCGGCGAGTCAGCCGCCCGGCTTCCTGATTGGCTGGGAAGCCGGCTCCATGTTCCCTTGCAGCACTGCCGGTCAGAGGAAATGCCCCTCTAACCAGAAGTTCTGGTATCGGGGAAGGTATCGGAGCATTTGGGTGAGTAGGAATACTCAGTCGGTACCGATACCAATACTAGTATCGGTGCATTTCTAGTATACAACGAAAACTATCCAAAGCTAACAAACAAAAAAGTTCAAGCTGTCCTTGAACTACAAGTCCCAGCAATGCTTTACCTTCAGCTTGTGAGATCGGTATTTCTCCTCGAATGGTGAAGGGGGTCTGGGCCCGCCCTCCAGATCTGTGACCGTATAATTAAACTGAGTGTGCGCGGGAGCCTCGAGAAGAGTCGGTGACCACTCCACCTAGGAAGAAAACAATAGAAGACTTTTCAGTCAACGTTGAGGGCTGACAGCAGTCATAGAAGTGAATGGTTTTAGGCAGAGATGCTGCTCGTCTGTTGATAAAGCAGAACGATAGGTAGGTATAAAAGACACAAATAAAAGGCAGCTTTGTAATCAATAAATGTAATACAAGCAGTGCGAGTACCTGAATCTGACATAGTATCGGCCTCTTGTGGTCCCTGTACAGCAGGGCTGGAGTGTGAGAAGCACGCTGGTGGGAGGGCAGAGCGATAAGAGGGATGCACTCATCACTGCGCTGCTTCTCCTTTTACTGTCCAGTCACCGGCTGGCCTCAAAGGAAATGGGTTGAATGTTATCACTATAATTTACAGGCCTGAACTCAGAATAGAAGGAGGTACACCGTATACGGTCTGAGCCCTTACTTACCATCAGCCATGATGACCTTATTAGTGTTAATTATTTCTTGTTATTTTTTTTATCTTATTATTGTTTATTTTTTATAATTATTTTCTTATTTTTTAATAGTTTGTTTATTATTATTTTTTACTTTTTAATCACTTTTTTTAAAAATTATTTCATATTTTTTTTTAATTTTTATTTATTATTTTTTTTCCCATCAATTTAGTTTTTCTTTCACCTAACTTTATTGCTATCACACAGGAGAAAACAATCCCCTGTGGGATAGCAATTGGAGGTGACAGGTTCTCTTTATTGTCCCTGTCACCTCCAATACAGGAGTTCTAGCACTGTGCTGGAACTCCTGTGACAGGTGAGAGAGGAAGAGCACAGCACGGCACAGCACAGCTCTCCCCTCTCACTGTCTACAGTCTACACGGAGCGGCAGGGTTACCTTTAACCCTGCCACTCCCTGCAGTGAGAAGAGACTGGGCGGCGGAGCCCGGAACCAGAGGAGAGGTCAAGTGCATGGGGGAGGGGAGGGGAGGAGGCTGCACACTGTTTACAAGTGATCTCGGTGACATCGCCGAGTTCACATGTAAACGAACAATCGGCTGCCTCACTCTACATTCAGTCCTGCTTGTACAAAGCAGGACTGAATGTAGAGAGGGCAACTTCCCCACAAGGATACCGCTGCCGCCCCTCTGCGCCCTGCCTTGCCCGAGGCCGGGCCTGGGTGGCGTTGTGGGAAATCCGGGCCTGCATCTCTCTGCCAATAACCAGCCTGGCTCAGCATGGCTGATGTCAGGTAAGGGCTCAGCAGACACACACAGCCCTTCGCTCTGCAGGGAAGTTAATGAAAGATGTGAGAGCTGCGAGGAACTGATAGTCTTCGCCCTGCGTAGACCTCTACTGCCATGGTTGACTGGCGTTTGAAGGTACCAGCGCGGTCATCCTCATTCTTGCGTCACTGCTTATTGTACATCTGTGTTTTGCCCTGCCCCTGCAGCACCTAATACTGGTGGAAGGGGAGCAAGAAGAGTAAGGCCTGAGCTGACCCTAATCAGAGCTTACACAGTGTTGAGGACCATGTGACAGCACGGGACCAACTGCCAAGCACAAGCCCCGTCATATAGAGTCACATGTTCCTCCATTCCTGGAAGTACCAGTTTATTTTTTTCTTTCCACCTGGAAGCAAACAGATGAGCAGCGGAGCAAATAAAATAAAAAGATGGGTGTATGCAGGAACGGAGTCTCTGAGCTTTACAAAAACAAGTCAGCCATGGCAGCTCCTATATTTATATTGAGACAGGTTCCCTTTAGAGCAACGGTTCTCAACCTGTGTAACCTCAGGACCCACATTTGTCTTCGGTCATTAAGTCGCGACCCAAGTTGCACTGCAATGGAACGCACGGCATTGCCGGTACCAAGCGTTCCGGTGCGGCCGATCGAACTGTGAGTGGGAGGTGCATTTGGGGTACCATCTAAAGCAGGGGTAGCAGACCTCCAGCTGTGGTGAAACTACAAATCCCATGATGCATCTCTCTTTGGGAGTCATGTCTGTGAGAATCTTGCAATGCCCCATGGGATTTGTAGTTCCACCACAGCTGGAGGGCCGGAGGTTTGCTACCCCTGATCTAAATGAATGGCAACGCAATGCAGCTCCCACACCAGAACTGTGCAATTACGTGGTACAGTTCATTAATCTCATGCGAGTATGCGATTAACACACTTACTAGTGTGAATGGGCCTTCAAAAACACTGACATACACAATCTCACACACACACACACACACACTGCCCCCCCAAAATTTTTAAGATCCACCCAGTCTCCCTAATTTACAAGAACTGGAGTGGATCCTCAGCCTGGGGTCCAGTGTGGGCTGCTGTGCTGCGACGGAGCTCCAGCCACATGTGCATTGCTTGTACAGCTCCCTTGTGTGCTCTGTAGAGGTGCCGGGAGCCAGAATGTGACTTCACCCCAGTCCAGGCACCTCTACAGGACACGTGAGGGAGCTGTAAGCAATGCAAGTATGGATGGAGCTCCTTCATGGCCATAGCCCCAGCCCACCCAACCTCAAGCTGACACTCAGCGCAGGGCAGCATATTTAGCATGCTGCTTGGTGCAAGAACTGACAGTGTTGCACGTTGCACTAGGAAGAGGCTGAGGAGTCTCTTACCTGGAAAAAAGGAAGGCCCACAGCGACCCACTTTTGGGTCACAACCCCCCCCCACCCCCCCCCGTTGAGAGCCAAGGCTT